CAGAACCATTGGCTGAGGGGGTCCTGGGGTCAGAGTCATTGGCTGAGGGGATCCTGGGGTCAGAACCATTGACTGAGGAGGTCCTGGGGTCAGAACCATTGGCTGAGGAGGTCCTGGGGTCAGAACCATTGGCTGAGGGGGTCCTGGGATCAGAGTTATTGGCTGAGGGGGTACTGGGGTCAGAACCATTGTCTGAGGGGGTCCCGGGGTCATAACCATTGGCTGAGAGGGTCTTGGGGTCAGAGTCATTGACTGAGGGGATCCTGGGATCAGAGTCATTGGCTGAGGGGGTACTGGGGTCAGAACCATTGGCTGAGGGGGTCCTGGGATCAGAACCATTAGCTGAGAGGGTCCCAGGGTCAGAACCATTGGCTGAGAGGGTCTTGGGGTCAGAGTCATTGGCTGAGAGTGGTCCTGAGGTCAGAGTCAGATCAAGTAGATTTGTTTCTCTAGGATTCCAAGAACTTTTCCTGCCTCTTGATGATCTGCAAAGCAGAAATGGCAGGGCAGACCTTGCTAGCGGTTCCACTGTGGAGACTTAACGTTTGAACTCTCCTGATGGAGTGCTTTTCACGTTGTTGTCTCACCATTACAATCCTCCTACCTTGTCTTTTTAGGAGTATTGTCTGTAAGTCCTCTTTGAAAGAAGAGGGAGTTCTCATTGAAAAGACTGATCCCCATTGTAAAGAATCCTCATTGAAAAAGAGTCTCCAATGCAAAAGTGCTCCTCTTTGAAAAGAGAGGGGTCTCCATTGGAAGGAGGGATCCCCCATGGAAGAGAGCAGCATGTAGAGAAACTTTCCTGGAAGGCTCCCCAAGGGTCTGGGGCTCAGCAGGCATGCTTTGGAATCCTACTTTTGGGCAGCTGCTGCTGTTGGGGGCGTTTTCCAAAAGGAAATAGGGTCTCAGGTAAAGGGCTTCTCATCATGGTGACATGCTCTCCTAGGAAAAGCCAGGAATGTTCTCTGTGTCTGAGTCCTGCAGTTTGCTTTGGATAGCAAAAAAGTCAGACTCCACTTCCTTCTGTCCCCAATCCTCCTGGAGGCAGTGGCTGCCCTGATTGACAGAGCCCTATGCAGGAGGAATACAGAAGAAACAGACAGGGTTTCCCAGCTCTAATCCCACCCCAGGGTTGATATAGGTCACCTAGCTCTCAGTGTTTGGCATTGCCAAGAAGCCATTGCAAAAACTGTCACTTGATCTCTGAATGTTATGTATAGTTGTCATAGAGCTGGCTGGTGAAGGGATGCTCCTGTGTAAGGCTGAAATGGAGTTTTTGCTCTTTCTTTGCTGGGAGGGGGGATGAGAGGCTCATTGAGAACCTGGAACTCGATGTGGTTAGCTGGACAGCCAACTCCAGGACCTGTCTTGTTTCCTCATCTCCAGTACTGGGATTAAAATCACATGCCGTCTTGCAGACTTTCTTTTTACATGGGCTCTGGGTCTCAAATTCAGCTCCGTGTCTTGCAAGGCCAGTGCTTTACCGACTGAATCACCTCCCCAGCCCATTCATCATTTTTGAGGGATGGCTGAGTTCACACTCACAGTGCCTTTAGGGGACAGTGTGACTGGGGAGGAAAAGGGAAGCTTGTTCCAGGTCACAAAGTGACTTGAGTTTCCCACGTTTACAGGTTACACTGGCACAGCATGGAGGGCTCAGAGCACAGGATGGTCACATCTTAGCTTCTCCCATCGAGTATCTTGGCACCTCCAGAGTATAGCTGGAGTTGTCCCCACCCAGTCCAGAGACCTGCAGCCTCAGTTCCTGCCCCATCTCCTCTGCTGCTCCCAGCCCTTTTCCTTCCTCCCCTCTCCCTTGGTGCTCAGGTTTCCAGAAACTGAGAAAGGAGTAGAGGCATCCAGCAGGCTTCGGAGGGCAGGCACCTAGTGATTGTACCAGACACTGTTCAGAAGAATTAGAACTTCAGCCTCTACAGCCGTTCTCTGAGAATAGACTCCTTGCGTACTTTTCTCTCTTCTTTCAAGCCCACGGGATATCTCCTGCAGAGAAGGAAGGAGTAAAGTTCATTTTTATCTTTCCCCTCCCAGCATTTCTGCCCAAGTTCGAGCTGTGTAATCATTTCAAAAATAGCTTCCATTGCTGGGGTGGGCTGGATGGGTCCTCAGTGGTGTCTAATGAAACAGTATGGGGAGGATGAGATGGCTCCTTGGTGGTGTGGGGAGATGGCCTTTTCTGTTCATCACAGTTTAGCTCAGCTTAAGCAACCTTGGGGCTCATTAGTTGTCTCTCTAAGAAGGGCTGGGCATTTACCTGGGAGAGCCCTTTAGATTTTCTGAGCTCACAGATCTGATGGGAAGGGATGGATGGCTGCTATCCACCACCTTTCATGGAACAGGATGCACACATCTAGATAGGAAGTGGAGCCTGATCTGTTTTATCTGATGATTTGTTCATAGAGGTGGACTGATTCCTGCTGTCACCTCCTCTGCTGTCACCTGTGCTAGAATCCTATCCCTTCCTGATGTGAGGCGCCATCTGCCTATTGCCCATAAACATGGGAACACACACATAGGAAGCTCACGGAGTTGCCTGGCACCAAGTGTCTGTTTGTCTGAAAAAGACCTGATGCATAATAAGTTGAAACCGAGGAGCAAGAAAAAGACCCCTTTCTACATAAGTTGTGGCATGCTTTAAACATCAGCGTCCCCAGTGCATTTAGAAATAGGTTTTGGGGGCTTGGGAAGAAGGCTGTGTGAGTAAAGTGTCTGCAGCTCAAGCACAAGGACCTGAGTTCAGATCTCCAGCATCCTTGTAAAGTTTGGGTACAGAGGTGCAAACCTGGAACCTCTGCGCTGAGGGTGAGGGCCAGAAACAGGTGGGTCCTTGGAATTAGCGGCCAATAGGCTAGTCCATCAGAGAGCTACAGGCTCAGTGAGAGAATCTATTTCAAAAAATAATAAGATGGAGAGTGATAGAAAAAGACACCTGATATTGCCTTCTGGACTCGGCACACCAATGCATGGGCAGGCACATTTGTTGTGCACATATGCACATCCATATGCCTGCACACATATACACGGAAATAAAGTGGGCTTTGGATGTTACTCTTAGAGCAATAGTTCAAGAAATGATGGTGTCTCTGTAGAGGGGATTTTATGTGGCTGCCAACCCCACACCACGGGAACACCACAGATGTTTGATTGTTGAATTAATTACCTTTCTGTTCTGTTGCTGTAATAAAACAGCTCAAAAAAAAAAGCAACTTGAGGGAGGACAGGTTTAAGCCAGCTCATAGTGTGAGAGTTCAGGCCGACATGGCAGGGGGCATGGTGACAGGAGAGGGGGCAGCTGGTCACATTGCACCTGCAGTCAGGAGACAGAGGGGTGGATGCTGGTGCCCAGTTCACAGTCTCCTTTCATTCAGTCTAGGACCTCAGCCTATGGTGTGGTGCCCCCACATTTAGGGTGGGCCTTCCCACTGTGATTAAACTATAGGTCAGTCCCTCACAGGTGCACCTGGGGGCCCTGCCAAGTTGACAATCAACATTAACCATCACAGTTGTTACAACCAAACAAGAGACGTGCTTCTGATGTGGTATTAGTCAGCTGCTCTGGAGGGTGGGTCTTCCTCACACTCTTCCTCGCAGCTGTGGCTGTATGTGAGTTTGGCATTGTCTCTTTACTCTCTATAATAGCCCCAGACTGGAAGTGTCACCAGGGTAGGGACTTCCTGTGTCTTTCTTTGGTAATGGTCACAGCTGTGGTAGACAGATCTGACCTTCTGGAAGGGAAAAATGAGTTTGGGTTTCAATGTGACTTAAGAAAGGAAGCCAGAGTGAACCATCCAACCATGATAGAAGTGCAGACTGACCTCAGAGAGACAGAGAGAAGAGCTGGCCTTCTTGGCTTGCAGAATGGTATCTTGGTTCAGGTGTAGGCTAGCTCTTATATGCCAGGTCCTTCCTTCCTGTTGGTTGCTTACTCAGATTTCTGAGTCTGCATGGAGATTGTTTGGATTGGTCCACCGCACTTGAGTGGTGTTTGATGAGGTATGATGTGTGGTCTTGACTGGGTCCTTGGCTATGTTTCATCGTGGTAGGAGGGGTGGGGCATTTCAGTTCTCACAGGTCTGTTACTGAGCACGCTGACAGAGGCAAGGTTTATCTTCGTGGGCGCCTAGCTCAGAAACTGGGGTATTGTTTTAAGAAGCAGTATAAACTTATGATTTCTAGTCTTTTAGAAAGCCATGTGTTCTGTTTAATTTCTTTTGTGATAAAGATCCTGACCAAAAGCCACTTAGAAGAAGATATTTATTCAGCTTATGAGTTCAGGTCACAGTTCATCACTGTGGGGAAATCAAGACAGGAACTCCAAACAGATAGTCACATCACACCCACACATCTGGACCAGAGAGAAATACATGCATGCTTGTGCTCGGCTCCATTCTTTTTGTTCAGGATTTCCGGCCTAGGGAATGGTGTCTTCTCACATCCATTAACTGTTTAGTAAAGATAGGTCAAACCAGTGTGGACACCCCCTTATGGAGACTTTTCTCAGATGGTTCTAGGTTGTCAAGATGATGAATCTAAACACCACAGCACACAAACTCCAAATGTCAATCATGAAACTGAGTGTGCTCTGGCTAATGGTGTCCTCTTGCTCTCTTCTTGCTGATCAGGGCTGGCTCCTTAGGTTCCCTCCCACTCTTCACTCACTCCTTCCTTCCCCAGAGCCTTAGCACCTACGTTCCGCCACGTGTCTGTCCCCTTCTGGTCACTGCACACAGTGGCATTCTTATTTCAACGCTGTCCTGCCTTTCCTTCCTGAGAAGTCCAGGCACTTGTCATCTTGTTAAAAATAAAGATCCTGCAACCCAATCGTTATTTATTATTCCCCCAACAAACACTTTAGAATGAAAGGATAAATACTCCTTTAGAGGTAATACAGCTTCTGTGTCTGTGAGGAAACAAACTGAAAGCAACTGTTTCTTAAAAACTAAACCTTCCTTGTCTCTGTGTTTCTCTTTTTTTCCATACAGGATCTGCTGTCTCTGTCTCCCAGGCTGGTTGAGAGTCAGGTAAGCGCTCATTATATTCTAGGTGAAGATGTTCTATTTGTTGGACACAAGGAGGTAAGCCAGTCTCCTGTGCCAATGTGCTTTTCTGCTTGTACAGCCATGCTGTTGGCATGGGTAGGGAGAGAAGGCAAATTGCTATTAGTATTGGTGACCTTTGGACCTCTGGATGTCCCTTTCCACTTACAATAGGAACACCTGGGCCGAATGGACACACACTTGCCATCAGACACAGCACTCTGGGTCCAGTGCCCAAGCAGACATTGCTAATCAACCCCAGCACCATTCATTCCTCTTGAACAGTCACTGTTAATAGAGCATCGAAGGCTCACAGGTGAATGACAAGCTCTTGGTATCTGTAATGGGTGAGCTCTAAAGATGGAGTCTGTTTTGCCAGGGTTGCAAGTGGGTGGCTGAAAAGTTTGTTGTTTGGGCCTCATGGGCTGCTTGTGGAGACAGAACCACAGTCTTGCTTGTCCCACTCAGCACCACTCCACCTTGTTACGGCCAGAGGTACCATAGCTCTGCCTTGGGGGAACGCAATTGCACAAATGAATCTATGCCTCAGGGCGATGCATTATTTTTTATTGATTCCAACTCTACCTCATTACTGTTGCTTGGCGAGGAACTAATGTAATTTCTAACAACGCCACGTGGCTTTCAAATGGATGAGGTAAGGATTTATTTCCCTGGTGATGCGATATCTTCTCTTCAATTAAAACCTATAGAGGAAAATTCATACAAATTTAGGGGTTTTTCCCACTGAGATTAGTGTCCAGACAGTAGGCTTTCACTGTATGTGTGAAACTCCTGTTTCCTGTGATGGAACTGGGGTACTTCCTGCCCTGCTTGTTCATCTAGCCAGCAGGGTCACCATTCCTCACCTTCCCCTCTGTAGCTCTTCTGATTGGCTGCTAGTCATGAATCACTGGTAGAGGCAGTTATGTTCCTTCCTTATTTCTCTCTTTCTCTCTGTGCATGGCTGTGCACAGGTATATATGTATATGTGTATGTACATGTATATGTATTGTGTGTGTGTATTTATGTGTGCATATGGAGGCCAGAGGACAATTTCAGCAGTCAGTCCTCAGAGCATTGTATACCGTGTTTTGTTTTTATTGACAGAGTCTCTCTTTGACCTGACCCTTACTAAGTAGGTTAGGATGGCTGGATAGTGAGCCCCAGAGCTTCACCTCTCTCCCTAGCTATGGGATCAAAGAGTTATGCCACTATGCACAGCTTAATTCTTTATGTGGGTTCTGGGGGTCCAATTCAGGTCCTTATGCTTGAAAGACAAGCATTTTCTTGGCTGAGCCACCTCCCAACTTTGATATGTGTTTATGGAGGCGAGACTCACATCTGTAACATTAGCAGGTTTAAAAATGAATGCTGCAGTGGTATCTAACACATTTGTAGTCAGATGCAACCACCGCCTCACTACTTCCAAAGCTCCTCCGTCTCTCCAATGCAAAGCCCTGCACCTCTTCCCCTTCCTGCCTCTCTATGGTCTCTGGTAACCACCTGTGTCCTGCTTCTGTGGGTTTACTTTTCTGGCTATTTCATACAAGCAAAATCATAGAGTAGATGACCTTTTGTGTTTGACTTCTTGCACGCAAGGAGCAGCCTAGCAGTGAAATGGGTGACCGTACAGGTGGTGTCTCTACCTAAAGCAAAGACTCAAGTAGGCCTAGGAAATACCCATTCGTCATGGTCCTGTGCACAGCAGTTCAGAGGTGAGAGCAGCCCATTATCCATCAACGAACCAGAAAACAAACCGTGGCCTATACATGCAGTGGAGAATTTCCTAGCCTTGGGAGGGAAGGAGGCTCTGATAACAGGCTACAGCTTGGGTGAGTCTTGGAATCATGTCAATCTGTGGCCTTTGCCAGGCCCATGTCCTGTCTGTGATGTGGCTGCCTATCAGAGGCATGTTGGAGATTGTGGGACTGGAATTTGGCTGGGATGGAGGGTGCTGCTTTCTTACTGGTCTTCCTGTGCAGCTGCTGGGCTCAGGGTTAACACTCTGCCTGGAGACTGTGAGCCGGGAGTGTTTGGACCATTGCTTGTCCTCTGTAGTGGCTACCTTCTCTGTGGCCGGCCAGGGTCACTCTACTCTCTGCAGAGCCTGGGGCTGGACTAGGAATTGCATTGAACCCAGCAGGTCTCCTGTTTCGTTGATTAAACAGGTTTGTTTGACTGAGCTATCCTGTTTGGTCTGTGTCAGGACTGACAAAGTCAACTCACTGGGACAGTTGTTAGACTCTGTGACCACTCTTAGAAGACCTGTGACCCTGGCAAACCTTGGCCTGATCACCTCCCTCTGTCCACACAGGGTAGAGCCCAGAGAGGTAAAGTAACTTACTCCTAGCTATACCTTCTGTAGCCTGGTTCCTTGCATGTGTTGAGGCTTCTCTCAGTTTTCCAAGCATGGGTACTTATGCACTAGCATATGTTTGGTTAAAAGCATCAGCCCAGCTCCCTAATACCCTTTATACAAAGAGTATGGAATGTTATAGTCAGGGGCCTCATCCCAGGCTCTGGCATCCATCTTGGGACTATTGGATAGAAAGTTCCATTTCAAGCTTCCTCCCCTGGGAGTTGCCTTAGTCCAAACTCCACCTCTGAGAAAGCCCGCCAAATGGTGACCCCTCCCTAGGGAGGGTGAAGACCACTTCCACAGGCTACTTAAACTGCCCCCCAGAGAATGAACACATGGTCTCCCCTTCTCTCTCTCTCTGTCTGTCTCTCTGTCTCTGTATCTCTCTCTGTCTTTCTGTCTCTGTATCTCTCTCTGTCTCTGTATCTCTCTGTCTCTCTCTCTGTCTCTTTCTCTCTGTCTCTGTCTCTTTGTCTCTCTATCTCTGTTTCTCTGTATCTCTCTCTGTCTCTCTGTCTCTCTATCTCTGTCTCTCTGTCTCTGTCTCTCTGTCTCTGTATCTCTGTCTGTCTCTGTCTGTCTCTATGTCTCTCTATCTCTGTTTCTCTGTATCTCTCTCTGTCTCTGTATCTCTCTCTGTCTCTCTGTCTCTGTATCTCTGTCTCTCTGTCTCTGTCTCTCTGTCTCTCTGTCTCTGTCTCTCTGTCTCTCTGTCTCTGTCTCTCTGTCTCTCTGTCTCTCTCTGTCTCTATGTCTCTCTATCTCTGTTTCTCTGTATCTCTCTCTGTCTCTGTATCTCTCTGTCTGCCTCTCTGTCTCTGTATCTCTCTCTGTCTCTGTCTCTCTGTCTCTCTCTCTGTCTCTCTGTCTCTGTATCTCTCTCTGTCTCTCTGTCTCTGTATCTCTCTCTGTCTCTCTGTCTCTGTATCTCTCTGTCTCTCTGTCTCTGTATCTCTCTCTGTCTCTCTCTGTCTCTGTATCTCTCTCTGTCTCTGTCTCTCTGTCTCTCTCTGTCTCTCTCTCTGTCTCTCTGTCTCTGTATCTCTCTGTCTCTCTCTTTCTCTCTGTCTCTGTCTCTCTCTCTCTCTCTGTCTCTCTGTCTCTCTCTGTTTCTCTGTATCTCTCTGTCTCTGTCTCTCTGTATCTCTCTCTGTCTCTGTATCTCTCTCTCTGTCTCTGTATCTCTCTCTCTGTCTCTCTGTCTCTCTCTCTTTCCCCCCCTCACCATCTTTTCCCAGTACCACCCAGGAACACTGCATTAAACACAGGCATCTTTTTCTCCTTGTATTTTTTTTATTGAGCTCTACATTTTTCTCTGCTCCCCTCCCTGCCTCTCCCCTCCCCTTCAACCCTCTCCCATGGTCCCCATGCTCCCAATTTACACAGGAGATCTTGTCTTTTTCTACTTCCCAAAACATGGGCATCTTTTATTTGGCCTGTTGTGGTCTGATTGGAATCATTTGCGTTGGTATAGAGACTCGCCTAAGAAATATTCCTAACAGTATAGTGTTCTGAAAGACCCCACCACAGCCTGGCCTTCCTCAGTGTTTGCAGCTCCCAGAGCTCCTTGGTTAAGGACGAGGAAGTGCGAGCGGTTATCTGGCAGGGAAGCAGCATTCCATGCTTCTGTCTTCCAAGGCTTGTGAGCTGGAGTATAATTGGCTGACTGATCTGCAGCTGAGGTCAAAGTGGCTAACATCTTTCTCCTCCTTTCACCTGACCCTGAGTCCCAGCTTCTGGGAGCTTCACTAACCTAACAGAGGGCAGACTGTCTGTGGCACTACTCATCCTGCCAAGGACAGGTTCTCAGAGCTAAGCAGAAAGGTCCCCAGAAGCATGGGGACTGGTGGGTGAAATGGAGGAATGGCTGGCGAAGGTGGCACAGGCAAGCCTACCTCCAACAGCAGACTGCCTGGCTTCCCAGAGATCACAACTACCTCCTCTGTCTGGAAGGTTATTCCCACCGCATCTGCTCAAGCTCTCAGGGGCTGGGGCTGCCCACACATGCTCCCAGACAGGTTCCACCTTTTAAATGGACCAGTCTCCTCAGCAGGGTGTATTCTAAGGCAGAGTGCTGAGAAGATTTCCCCTCTCTCCTGAGGTCTGCTGAGAAACTGGCAGTGCCCATGGTTCCCCCAAGGCACTTTGGGTAGGAGAAAGCCTGTCTGTGACTGGAGTCACTACAGGACAGATGAAAACCCTGGTAGCCCACTGCTTGCAGTGGGCTACTCCCCTGATCATTGCCTCTGTTTGCCTCCACTGAACTCTGAAAAACTTGTTTTCCTGTTTCTCATATTCGCCATCACATGGAAAACAGAGCTAGAATGTGATTATCCCGGCACCTGCTCTCCCTGACAGCCCCCTTGGGTGCATAATACTCTCTCGGGTATCCCCCTCCCCCTCACAGCAGAGCTCCGGCCAGTCAGGAGGTACAGGGTAATCTCCAGGATGGGGACTGAGGCCTGGCGTTTGTTGAGCACCCACTGTGTCCCAGGTCCTTTCAAAAACAATCTTGTGCAAACCTCCTGAAGCCTCAGAGAGAAAAGTTATCACCAAACCTATCTCAGGTGGGCAGCTTCCTGCTGGGAAAGGCAAGCAAGGGCCCACACGTGACTTCCAGTCACTG